GGAGACTAAATGAGAGTGACCAAATGTGGACCATTTTACTAATTAGAGTGATCAACATTGAAGTTAAATATTTTTAGTGACTAAATATGACACTTTTTGGTAGACCTAGTGATCAAACGTGCAATTTACCCTAATTTATGTACTTGCCCAATTTTAGTTTTAGTTTTAAGCCTAAACAAGCAAATTCCTTTCATCATACCTCCTGGCCCAAACCCTTGTCGTCGACCCTGTTTTCACCATCCCTTTTCCCATTCTCCTCGAACCTCTTCCCTTCCCATCCCATCCCAACCGTTGCCTTCCTCTGTCCTAGAACAAAGATTGAGATACTGATGCAAGTTCTCCCCTTCTGAATTCAGGGAACTCGAATATCAAATTTAAAAATAGTTGCCCCGGTCTGAAAAACAAGCATGGAAATAACAATCAATCAATTAGAAAGATAAGTTGAATAAGTACTTATTCCAAGAGTCCATTCGAAAATGACAAATTGGATTAGAAAATTGCAAAACATAATTAAAAAATTGATTCCTTTTTTCATTTGAATAAGTACGATAACAAATCTATGGATAAATAAAATCAAATTAACTAAGTAGATACGAGGGCTACTGAAATCGTATTTTCGCAAAGTTTTTAATCAGTTATTACTCAAAATTCAAAGCTTCAACTTAGATCAAACAAAAAGTACTAAAATAAATTGAAAGAACCCATTTTCTAGGAATTTTAGGGACTGATATTCGACACCCGTGATTACTCGTAACAATAGGAATTTAGGGGTTGAGGGAAATAATTAGGGATTTAGATGAGAAAGAACATAATAGAATCAAGAATCGGACGAGGTCTTGGATTAGGAGAGATTAGATTTAGGAGAGATACTTTGCTTAATACTTTTCTTGATTGATTATGAATGAAACCCCAAGTACATATTTATAGGAAAATATGAAAAAACCTAATAATAATCCTAATCCGACTAAATCTCTACTAACCATAGTTATAATTATACTACCTAATATAATAATAGAAACCCCAATAGGGCGGTTTTTAACAATCCACCCCTCTTGAAAGCAACCTTGCCATCAAGGTTGCAGATGACTTTCACCTCCTTTACCTTCCGCTTTCTTCGTTTCCAATTGCACTCGATCCCTTGAATGAACTCTTCCTGCGCAACTCCAACTTCCCTAGACTCTCCTCCGCCCATGTGACACATGTCACGTTCTCCATAGCCGAATCATTATTCCTCTTCTCTTTCGAAGTCCACGAAATAAGAGTCGAAGAATCGTTCTTCTTCTTGATTCTCATCACTTACAAAGTTGAAATCTTTGAGGAATAGCTCCATCAATTCTTCCATGGACTTTGTGGTGACGATAAGCTCTTCTGGGTTCCATTCTTCTCCAAGTTGGTTTGAATTAACCTTTATTGAAAGCCCACTTTCTAGTCCAATGAACCCACTTCCTCCTTCCTTTAAGTTATTTTCCTGCAAAATATATCCAACAACCCAGCTTTTCGGCCCAACCAACCGGACGACCCGAATTACGTCCCGGCCCAACTGTTCTGGCTTCTTGGAGGCGCGACCTAGGGTTGCTGGAGATTGGAAACCACCTCCGCCTTCCTTCTTCCTCGTACCTTCTTTTCCCGGCGTTGCGAGCAACTCCTCCGACGTCACGCCATTCCGCCGTCGTCCTCAACTCTGTCTTGTACTCCGAAGGCAACCCGATTTCTTGCAGCTTTTTCTTCTTCATGAAATCAGGTAGAGAACACTTACCAAGGAAGCACGGAGTCCAGCTCACTTCCGACCTTGGCTTCGTCTTCGTTTACCCGTCAGTTCTCCTCACGAAGATGCCACCGGTAGCACACACATCTCTGCTGGCCCGTTTCTCCTGGACCTCGTCGCTGCGATGGGAGTTGCCCCAAATCGCAAGGTCGTAAACGCGATTCGCGTAGCTGACAAAGAGACCCGATGATCCTGCTCCGCATCTACTTCACATCGTCGATCCCAAAAGCTTGCCTCTGTTTTCCTACCGAACGCCGCCAAGGCTAGATCCGGCGGCACTCGTTTCTTACTCCCGTCGTGGAGTTTGCCCAAAATTTCCTCCAAGCTCCGGTGGTTACAACTCGCGTCAGTCGGCGAGGCTGGTGGCGATGACGAGTTGGGGAGAGGAGTTGCGTCGTTGGTAGGCTGCGGTAGAAATGAGGTTTCAAACGCCCCTGTAGCAACAAACTCCCCTTTATTCTGGAATTGCCAATTCATGGCGAGACCACGCGTTACCCTCTCCTCCACACCTTCCGTCTTCTTCCTCCACAACAATCCATGTTCTCGGACTTGGAACGACTCAAGGATGGCGTAGATTAGAGTTTCCTCCTTTGGACACGACGGCGTAGTGGTGATCTTCAAAAACTTTGGTTGCTCAATACCTTCGACAACTTGATCTTCTTTGCAGGAGCTCTCGGTCGTTAGACCTTCTCCGTCGACCAACGTTGGTGGAGTGGGAACTTCTTTCGTGGCTGGTGGCTCCCGGCTTGATCCCGAAATGGGCGTCAACGTCGAATGGATTGGGAGCTCCAACCAGTCTTCGAAATCCATTTCTGCGGTTGCGGCCTTCGACAATGGCGGTGGTTCTTCCTTCATCAACTCCATTGACGTGACGTTTTCGGCTTTGGATAGAGCAGCCCACGCGATGTTTCCGGACAGCGTCAAGGACGAGGTAACCTCGTTCTTCCTTACCTCTTCCAGCTTCATCTTCAAAATCTTGGTGAGTTTGTTAATTGAGAGCTCGAAGTTGGTCGCAACCATGTACGAGTGCCTACAACCGGGTTGTGATACCACTGAAAGAACCCATTTTCTAGGGATTCTAGGGACTGATCTTCGGCACCCGTGATTACTCGCAATAAATAGGGATTTAGGGGTTGAGAGAAAGAATTAGAGATTTAGATAAGAAAGAACATAATAGAATCAAGAATTGGCCAAAGCTTAGAATTAGAAGAGAATAGAAATTAGAAGTTGAGAGAGATTAGATTTAGGAGAGATACTTTGCTTAATACTTTTCTTGATTGATTATGAATGAAACCCCAAGTATATATTTATAGGAAAATATGGAAAAACCTAATAATAATCCTAATCCGACTAAATCTCTACTAACAATAATTATAATTATCCTACCTAATATAATAATAGAAACCCCAATAGGGCGGGTTTCTAACATAAATAGGCGTTTAGAACTAGCTTAAAATAAACAAGGAAAGAGGATAATTCGAAAAGAGCAAAGAAAAAGCAAGACTATTAACAATATTATGTCCCCCCAATCTGGCGGGTATTTACATCATGTGAGTTAATTGATCCTTTTGATGTATTTCATCATACCCTGTGTCTGACGTTTATCAGAACTAATAGGACGTGTTCGAGTACTCCAACACAAAGCCATATTCGAAGCTATCAACACGTGAGATGATAGCTACAGTCAATATATGCAATCGTATTGACAAGAAACCATCCATAAACATCAATCGAACATCACTTAATCAAACAATCCATTATCCAAAAGATTTTACATAATTTGAACAATCTAAGAGTTTAGCTATCCATGAATACAAGAGGAATCACAAATACAATAAAGAAGGATGTTACCATTATGGTTTCCCTCCTACATATCTTTTCCCTAGATGGCGAGGCAGTAATCCACTTCATGGCTTCCCTAACCCTTCTCACCGACAACCCAATCTTATCCAAACAATCATAAACAACCAAATTAGTGATATGCGCTACACAATGCATAAGAGGTATCCCCCAGATATGTTGGTCACCCATTCTTCAAATTTCTCCCTTATATGGCGAACGGCTACGTCATTAGCCGATGCATTATCAACCGTGCAACAAAGGAAATTCTTCAAATCCCACTCATTCAAACACATCATCACCATGTGGGCAACATCCTCCCCTCTATGACTGGTTATCTTCTTGAAGCATATGATCCTCTCGTGGAGATGCCAACTTCTGGAGATGAAATGCTCCGTGATAATTACATAATTATCGTTCTACAACGATGTCCAACAATCCGCTGTGATTGAAACCTGCCCCATGCCTCTATTTTTGAAGAAGAACTTCAAGCTATCTTTTCATTGAAGAAACAACTTTGCACAATCTGTCCTCACTGTCTTCTTACTTGAAATTTTGAACATAGAGCAAACACGAGAATGAAATGAAGAAAGCCCTCCCTTTCAAAAAGAAATTTGAAAGGCTGCTCATCAAGCATGATCATTTATGCAAAAGCTAAGTGCGATTCTTCTTGATTGAATTGCCAAGTTGATATCTTCCCTGCTGCGTCCATTGAGGCACCAAGTTAGAAACTCGAATTCGATTGTTGTACTTGTAGCAGCTCCAAATGTTTCTTCTCACAAGAGGCCGTATGGTTCTTCAAGTCATTTGTGTCATGGTTGCTTGAGACAACAATGATAGCTCCATAGTGATTACACTTTCCTTTCCGAACCTCAACCGGTGGTTCTCCTTCTGTCGTAAATAACACTGAGAATCCGACCATGTGTGGTGATCGAAGGATAAATGATTTCCCCTTTCTAGAATACGACCCTACTGATGGTTCTTCATTAACCACAACATTACTTGCTTGTTGAGTTTGAGATATATCGGCTGCATTCTCTTTAGTAGCCATCAAAAGTAAAATAACTTGGACATAGACATCACTACGAGAACAGAGGAAGTCAGAGGAATACCATTTCAAGTATCAGAGACGACTGGGCCTTTCTCCTCTTGGAAGCTCCTAGTCCTCCGCTGTCCTTTTTTTTTTTATGAAATTGGAGAGTGGTTGAGTGGGAAGGCCGGCGTCGGAAGGGAAATCGCGCAACAGATTCTGGCTGCTGGGGCTGGGTAACAGTGGCCTATCATCGGGCCGTACTAAGAGGCCCATTCAGCAAGAAGCCGTGGACTCACAGACCTCTAAATTCTGACCCACAAAGGAAGATTTACCAGAGAGGCCCAATTTCTTCACCGAGTTGATACTTGATAACGCTTGCGCTGCGAAAGGTTGCTCAACAGGGCATGGAAAAGAAGACGACGAACGATCATCCTTGCTGAGACATTTGCAGAGCTTCGTGAAAGCCCGAAAGTCGGTCAGATTTCCATTTCCGCCGGGCAATTTCAACCTCTCTGTTCGCCGCCGTGAACCACATCCTCGGAATCCATGGTTTGTTCTTCAATAGAATCCCCTAACTCGTAATATTCATTCCTTTTCGTTTTCCAGTACGACTGGAGGCAACTCTGAGATGAACCAAGAATCCTCGCGAAATATTGTGTTTGTCTCGTAAATTTACTGTTTACCTGCTCCTGCCCATTCGAATTGAATTTTCCCGGTGAAACCGTGTTTAGCGACTGACAGAGTGTAGAAGATCTCAGCTTTTACTTTAATGGGGTTTCCTTGTTTTCCCTGACCTTGGACCAATTTGCTTCAATTTTCCTTCTTTTGGACTGCGGATTAAACTGGCCTAGACTGGTGATTCTGCAGTGCCTAGCCTATTAATGCTTCTTGTCCATTATGGCTTAGCTTCAGAGCCAGGTGCTTCTTTTGTTAGTCAAATCTTTTGACTTATATCTACCAATTAGATGCCCCTTTTCGGGACAAGATGTCGTCCAAAATTATTTGTGGTAGGAGCTGCATTGTTGGCAAATATGTTAGATCAAAATGAAATGTTTGCAGAAGCTTAAGACTCATCCAATGCCATACGCATACCATGTCTGAACAATAATATTAATGTGAACTGAGTATCATGGTCTGAGATAAACATGATGTGCTTTTCTTTATGTTCCTCTTGCTATTTTCGGTATTTCTGTGCCATTTCATCAGTAGTAGTAGTATAAAGGCATTCTCCAAAATTAGGCTTTCCAGTTTCCATTCCATGCCCACACATGTTTAATCAAGATATAACTTCTTTTGAATGTCATTTGATCTACTTGTGAGGTGATCGATGTTTATTTGCATGCACTCTACCTTCAGTCGAATCTCTATAGAGGGGTATCCAGGAAGGATAAGCCGAGATCCCGTCATCATGGTGGGTTAACCCAGCAGAAGAAGCAAGAAATTAAGGAAGCATTTGATCTATTTGACACTGATGGCTCAGGTACTCTTGCCTCTTTTTTTTACCTTCTTCTTTTACCTTCGCTGATTCTTTATGTTTCATTCTGGAGTTCATTTGACTACATGCTGGCATATTAACTTGTGTTTGGTCCTTTTAGGGACTATTGATGCTAAGGAGCTGAATGTTGCCATGAGGTATGAATTGCTTTTAAGTTGTCTTCTGATTATCTGGGTTAAGCAAATACTGAGTCGGGAACTTATCTTGTAACAGGGCGCTCGGCTTTGAAATGACAGAAGAGGTATCTTTCATTCCGATATCGTATTCATGTTCTTGGTAATTCTGCTTTGTTATTCAATCTCTGGTTAGGTGGCTGGTATGCGGTGAAACATGAGTGATCTCTTTTACTCAACTGTTTATAGGCCTCATCAAACTATGATTGTATGATGTTTTCAACTGACTGTTTGACATATTGGTGTGAATGATGCCTCGCCTTTTGTATATGTAGCAAATCAATCAAATGATTGCAGATGTGGACAAGGATGGCAGTGGCTCAATCGACTTTGATGAATTCGTACACATGATGACAGCCAAAATTGGAGAAAGGGATACTAAAGAAGAACTCATGAAAGCATTCCGCATCCTTGACAATGATAAGAATGTGAGGTTTTCTCTGCATTTGTTATGCTGGTCTTTGCTTCAATGTTCCAGATTTCATACTTTATCCTGTTGTTCCGTCATTCTTATTCAGGGGAAGATATCAGTCGATGACATTAAGCGAATAGCAAAAGAGCTTGGCGAGAGCTTAACCGACAGAGAGATCCAAGAGATGGTTGATGTTGCTGATCAAGACCGTAAGTAACACAATAATTACTGACTAATTGATTGCTTTAAATCATCATTGTCATCTCACTTGAGTTTCTAAATATCTTACAGGGGATGGAGAAGTGAACATCGAGGAATTTTTGAGGATGATGAGAAGAACATCGTACCACTACTGATGCTTCTAACAATGAATTTCTGCTTTTGATTTCAATCATTATCCTGTTGCACAATATACCTATGTTTGTACAAACCGGACATAGCATCAAGATACCTTATGCAAGAAAATCTATGGGCTCTACTTTAACTAGCTTCTTCATGCTGTCCACACTGCTGCATAATGTATTTCCGAGTTTTATGCGTCATTCAGTCCAGAGATCTATGGATGTTATGAGAACTTTATAAACTCGGCGCCAGCATTTTGTCCAACACTGGATGGTTTTAATTCCTCAACCAGAGTTGGTCTCTCTGAACGCTCTGCTCCCTGGCTATTCTCTCCACGGGCTCGTGTTCGTTCTAGGTTTGAAGCCTAACTCGAGCAGTTTGGCGACAGTAATCCCTGTCTGCAGTAGGTCTGGCAGTTTGGACTTTGGAAGGTCTCTCCGTGGCTATGCCGTTCCTGTTCAATGATTTTTACCCAAGATTTAATGTTGCTGTCTGGATGGAATTCCACAATTGCAGTCTATACCCAAAACCAGATGCCTTGCAGACGCATTTGAAGTTTTCCAGGAGATGCTCCATGCTGACTTGGAACCCGATGTAATCGCATTTGTAAAGCTGAGTTTCTGTTTAGTTCCATGCCTTACAAGAGCCTCTTGTCAAGGAACATAATGGTCTCCAGTTATATTCACTACGCTTGGGGAGGATATGGAGAGGTAAAAGTACAGCCTACAGAAACTCAGAACCTCTTCATATTCACCTTCAACAATGAGGCAATCAGGGAGAAGATATGGAGGGACAGACCATGGAGCCTGTCAAATACTCTAAATGCTGTCGAGAAGTACAACGGAAGAGGGAAACCAGAAGAAGTTTCCATAGAGAAGGTAGCCATGTGGGTGCAGATTCATGGTATGCACCAAAACCAGAGGAGCGAGGAGAACATGGTGGCGATAGGATCTCATTACTTCCTGGGGCTACTCGATTTGGACAGAGCAAGCTTGGAATTCACGGGATACAGGAATTTTCTGAGGATTCTAGTGGAGGTCGACATAAAAGAACCAGTCCCGACCGGATTCGACTTCCCATTCATAGACGAAACCACGGGAGAGGAGCACTGCGACGTGATCGACTTCAAGTATGAGAGGCTGGTGGAATTGTGCTACTTCTGTGGAAGAGTAGGCCACAACTGGCCGACTTGCTGGAGGATGAACGAGGAGAGGAAGAGGAATGGAGTCGCATACCTGCCGGAGATCTACAATTCTTCTCTCAAGGCAGGAATCTATTCACCTCACAGGCACCAAACGGCCAATTACAGAAGCAGCAGGGAGGGGGAAGGTTCACAAAGTTATTCGACGGTAAGAGAGAGAGAGAGCGAGTTCGGGAAGCCAGAGCAGATTGGAGGAGGTAGAGGGAAGTGCTTCGTCGGGTTCGGACGGTAGGATCTCTGAAGGGAATTTACAAATCCCTCCAGGATTTACTGTGAGAAGGCTGGAGCAGGAAGTTCAAGGAGAGGAGGAGCAAGTCTCACAGGGGAGATGGATAGGAAGGTAAAGAGTAGAGATGGGGGCGACAAACCTGAATGTGGAGATGGATAGGGCGGCGACAGCGATGGAGATGGGGCTACGATTGGAAGAGGAGAGACGCGTTCAAGATTTTGGGCGGATTTCAGTGACAGTGGAGACAACCTTGTCTCTTGGCCAACCCAACCAAACATCCAAGCCCACCTCTCAATCCAAGCAGGCCTAAATGAAATATCTGACTATCAACACATTCAAGATGGAAGGGAAGTGGAGATGGGCCGAAAACAGAAGAAAAGGAAAGGAATGGGCCTAATTTGTGGAGACGACTACCAGATCCGCTGGTCTGCAATATAGGCCCAGTGCCGATGTAAGGGAGGAAGAAGCCTTATTTGATGGGCCAGCGGGTGTTTATGAAATGGGTGGGCCGGGGGATGTCTCCGGAAAGAAGAATTTGAAGTTTAAATCCCTGAACCATAATACCTCTAAGGGGAATCATCCAGAAAGTGAGCAGGAGGGTCGAGGAAAGAAGAAAAAGGCAGCGGTGGTTTGCCAGAAGCCACTTCTTCAAGAATGAGTATGGTAAGTTGGAATTGTAGGGGTTTTGGCCCAACCCTTACAAGAAGTTATGCGAAACGTCTGTGTAGACAATTAGGCCCTTCGATTTTTTTCCTCATGGAAACGAGCAAAAATGAGACATTCATGGAGGAGCAAAGAAGAAGTCTCAAAATTTTCTCCAATAAAGAGTATGTGGAACCGGTTAACTCTTTTATGGGTTTTGCGCTATGGTGGAAAGCGGGTATTAGCATTAATGTTTTAAGTAGTGATAGCTATTATATGGATTGTAGTATTGATATGGGGAGGAAGTTCTTCTGTACTTTTGTTCATGCACCCTCTACCGCTGTTAGTAAAAGGGAATTTTGGGAGCACCTAAGCTCTCTTCGGAGTAGTAGGGAGGATAAATGGGTTATTGTAGGAAATTTCAATGCTGCTATTTATGAAAGTGAGAAGGAGGGGAGATGCCCTCTTATGTACGAGAATGTTGAACATTTTAAAAGGGTCATTTTCGACAATGCTCTTATTGATCTAGGGTTTAAAGGAGAACCCTTCACTTGGACCAATAAGCGTATCAGCGAAAATACAACGAGAGTCCGACTAGATCGAGTGTTGTGCTCGACTTCTTGGAGAGTCCTCTTCGGGGATGCAACTGTTTTCCATGAAAAGATGGTTGAGTCGGATCATTGCCCAATCAGGCTAGAGCTCTGTTATAGAGGGAATAGGAGGAGAAAGACACCCTTCAGAGTAGATGAAAGATGGTTGGAAAAGGAAGAATGCAAGGAGATAGTGGTCATAGCTTGGGACCCAGGAGGGCAATGGTCTAACCAGCTGGCCAAGTGCGAACAAGATCTTAAAGAGTGGTCTAAGGACTTCCATAGGAACAGTTTACAAAGGGAGAAGGATATACTGGATCTACTTGATATTCTCCAACGTCCTCCAAGAACCCAGGAAAGGGTGGAGGAAGAAAAAAGTCTCATCGAAGAACTGTTAAAGATATGGAGGGAGGAGGAGGCGTTCTGGAATCAGTGCTCAAGAGTGAAGTGGCTACAGAAAGGTGACCAGAATAATTCCTTTTTCCATTCTAGCACGATCCATAGAAAGCATAAGAATAGAATTCTCAGACTCAAGGATGATAGAGGCGATTGGGTTGAGGATGAAAATAGGCTTAAAGGTTTGGCCCAGGATTTCCACAAAGACCTCTTTAGAGCTAGAGATAGGGATGGCAATGGGTCAGGTTGGGTCGGGTTTTGCCAAACCCAAACCCAAATCAATGGGTTTATCCGTGAAAAAACCCGGGGTAAAACCCACTGGGTTTGAAAAACTCAAACCCAACCCAACCTGCTGGGCATCCGTGGGTTCATGGGTACCCACGGATTTTTGTCGTAAAAAATTTACAATAACAAGTTCCTATCAAAATTAAAGTCAAATATCAATCTCTCAATACAAATTATTCATATTTAAAACACCATTCTAGAAAATTCAAGCAAATCACAAATTAACTATACAAATTGTTCAACACCAATCTAGAAAACTCAAAAAAATTGAAGCAAATCACAAATTATCCATAAATAACATGATTAATTGAAAGCTTCTTCCTTTCAATTAAGTTTCTTCACTCTCTACTCGATAACATCAACTTCATTCTACACAATTAGAAAGAAAAAATTAGACATGTCTCCACAAACATAAATAAGATTAGTTGTTTAAAATATTAAATATAACGAGAAAATTAATTATATGAGTGTGGGCGGGTACCCATGGGTCGGATTTACCTAAACTCAAACCTAGCCCAACCCGATGAATAGTGAACGAGTTTAAACCCAAAACCCGTCAACACGGATTTTACCCGCGTTGACCAGGTTGGGTCAGGTGGGTACCCGTGGGTTCAGATTTTGTTGCCATCCCTAGCTAGAGACCATATTCCCTTTACCCACCTTCTGGATGGCTTCCCAGAAAAGGTCACATATGAGATGAATGCTGCTCTTTGTGCCCCAGTGACCAGTGAGGAAATTAGGAAAGCGGTATTCTCTTTGGGAGCAAAAAAGGCTCCAGGTCCAGATGGATTCTCTGGTAGGTTCTACCGAAGATTCTGGGATATTATTGGGGAACAGTGTGTAGAGAGATTAAGGAATTTTTTGAGACAGCCGCAATGCCGAATGGATGGAATGATACACATATCGTCATGATTCCTAAAGTTGACCACCCAGAATTGATAAGCCAGTTTCGACCCATTAGTTGCTGAAATTTTAGATATAAAATTATATCGAAGATTATGGCAACCTGATTGAAGATCTGAACGCCTGATCTGATCTCTGAGCTCCAAACAGCTTTCACCGGAGGCCGACTTATCAAAGACAATGTCATTATTGTCCACGAGGCCCTCCATCATTTCAAAAACCACAAGCGGGGAAGGAGAAGGGACATGATGCTCAAGTTGGACATGAAGAAGGCATATGATATGGTGAACTGGGACTGTTTAGAAACTCTGCTGAAGAACTATGGGTTTGATGACAGATGGTGCAGATGGGTCAGCTCTTGCATCAGGACGGTCAATTTCTCCATCCTCTTCAATGGTGAAGCAGCATAGAAGTTCAAACCGTCAAGGGGAACCAGACAGGGAGACCCACTCTCTCCCTTCCTTTTCATTTTAATGTCTAATGCTCTTACCTTTCTGATTGATAAAGCGGTTTCCCAGAACTAGTTAAAAGGAATTAGGTTGAACGCGAGATGCCCGATTCTCACACATTGTCTGTTTGCAAATGATACAGTGATCTTAGGAAAGGCTGATCATCAAGAAGCGGAGAAAATACTGGACCTTATAAGAGAGTATGGAGCCATCACGGGACAAGAAGTGAATATCAACAAATCTTCCGTTTTCTTCAGTGCGAATGTACCCGATGTGGACAAAGCTGCGATCATTGCTCACATCGGGTTTGCCTCTTCTAACTGCCACACCAAGTACTTAGGAGTGCCGATGTAATGGGAGAATTCCAATTCCTGATTCAGAGAATGGAGAAGATGGGTGAAGCATGGAAATGCCTCCTCCTCTCTCATGGAGGGAAAGAAGTTTTGCTCAAAGTTGTCATTCAAGCTATTCCTTCCTACATCATGTACCTCTTTAACCTCCCGGTAAACCTGACAAAGAAGATGGATTCCCTCCTCACCAACTTCTTCTGGTCAGGGTCAATGCATAATAGCACAATGCACTAGTGTAGGAAGGAAATTCTTTGCACTCCAAAAGCAGAAGGGGGATTGGGTTTCCGAAGTTTCAAAGATTTTAACATGGCCTTGTTGGAAAAACAGGCGTGGAGAATCCTTAATTCCCCTGATGCCTTGTGGTGTCGGCTCCTGAAGGGTCTGTACTTCTTGAGAGGAGGATTCCTACAATCGAAAAAAGGAATTAGATCCTCTTGGATTTGGACGAGTCTG